TACTTAATGAAATTATTTTGAAGAGACGCTATCACTTTTAAAAAAGAAATGTAGCTTTGGGAATTGTAAGAAATCTGTTGGACTGTAGTTGACGCTTTTCCTAGGGAGCAGTCATTGTTTATCACCGACGAGGGAATGGGGGAGGGGAGAGCCAGAGGATTTTGCTGGTTTCACCGTAACTTTTACGTGAACTCCACTATGGCTCTGTAGTACTATGATCCCCATTCATGGCACTGAATTTTCTATGACTCCCCCTCTATACCCTGTTAGCCACGACTGATTCCCCCCCTTCCCCTTGAAAACCGTGAGATCCCCAAAATCTTTATAACCGTCCCATCCCCGGGGAAAAATTATGACTGGACCCCCAGTTTCACTCGTAGTTTCCTTTTGTATAAATCCCGATACCAGGTCGAAACTAACTCACTCGGCAGTCCCACTTGTAGTAATTCGAATCAAAATCGATAGCGAAGATTGATCAAGAGAAAATTTGCAGTTGATAATGTGAAGGCGACCATCCCACGTTCACAATCTACAGATCATCCACCAGTCTCCGACTAAATCTCGTCTGCAGACGATCTCACAACTCGCACGAGGGAGACTAGTCGACTTGCCAAAATACCTCTGTGACGGTGATTATCTTCCAAGTTGTTTGGTTCATTAAGACGGTTGGTGGAAGGAAAAGTGTGTTGCTAAGCTACAGCGTCTCGTGGGTTAGTTTGAAATGTTTTCTTCGGGAGGCAGTTGATTTCTAGTCTCGATTTAAGCAAATTTCTCAAGAATTTGGCAAACATTTTTATTAGTCGAACTTTCATGAACAACACATTTTCGATTGTGCCGTTCAAACACATCTACCGAAACGTGATTTTGATTCATTGATCCACTTTTATTTTCCCTTCATTTAACAGCAAAAGCAAAAACCCGCATGAAAAATCCCCTCCACTGAAATTAAAACATGATCATTGCTCAATGGTGCATGCAGATTAACCAATAATCCTTAACCTTGAGCAGACCGTGTAGTTCAGCGTCTTCACTGAACAAAGATGTATCCGAAGGCCTTAATAGTTTGGTCTCCGTTGTCCCCGCCATACCTAGCTACGTTTCCGCATG